CCCGGGAGAGGAGGGCGGCGGGCGGCCTGGCTGGGCCTCGGCCTGCAGCCGGCCCTGCAGGGAGGGGGGAAGGAAGGGAAAAAATGGGCCGACGGCCCATTTGAAAAAAAGGAGGAAAAAGAGAGGAAAAAGAAAAAGAAAAAGGAAAAAGGATTTTCCCTGGAATTAAAATATTGCTTGCTCAATTTTAATTGGTTCAAATTATTTCTAGAGCTCTGAAAATTCCACTAAAAATCCTGTTAATGAATTTCGACATGTAGAACTCAAGAAAAATTCCACATGCCAAATCCGATTATTATTTGCATTACTTTCTTAGGGTTTTCTCTTGATTTGCACCTGCATTTTCTTGGGGTCGTTTTAAAAATTAAATTTTAGGCTTGGGAGGAGAACTTCGGGGTGTGACAGGAATGGAGGAGGGGGAGGAGAGGGCTGGGATGGGAGGAGGAAGGGGAGGAGAGGGAGATGGATCTGAGGAGAGGAGAGGCCGGTTGTTGAGGAGATTGAAGCCGGTTTTGGGGGAGATGACAGGGAATAGGGATTATATACTACGCGTGATTTTAGTCCCGGTTGGTATTACCAACCGGGAGTAAAGATATAGGAGATCTTTAGTCCCGGTTATTAATACCAACCAGGACTAAAGTGGTGATCTTTAGTCCCGGTTTGTGACACCAACCGGGACTAAAGATCCCCGCCCCTCTGACAAGGGACTGACAGGGGATGAATCGGGACTAAAGATCATCTTTAGTCCGACTAAAGATCGTAGAATGGCTATGGGGTTTTAAACTGGGACTAAAGATCATATTTAGTCCAGGTTCTTTTTATAACCGGGACTATTATGGTTTTGGGGCGACCGAGCGAAGATCAGTTTTCCAGTAGTGTATGTTAAACAAAGGGAAGGTGATTTCATCCCGTATATCCTCTTGTTTCGTGCATATCACGTAAATAATCATAAAAAAGATTAAAAAAATAGTAAGATAGATTAATATAAAATATATCACTCCACGAACATCTAAGTTAAAAATTAACTTATACAAATCTATCTTCTATTATATATTAAAAGTCCATTAAACTTCCTTAAAATACTCTCACACTACCACGTGGTAATCCTTAAACCGCTCTCAAGGTATCACGTGGTATTAGTAAAAATCAATCCCTCAATTTTTACGTAAGTGGTTGGTCCAATATTTTTAGCCATCCAACTTAATTAAGATTAAAACAAACACCGCCCGAACTGCTAGCTCGGGGCCACACAGAGCGAAGCTTCCCTAGAGCATCGCCATGGTCATCCTGCTCCTGCTCGTATTTCGTATACGCCCTTGCCTCCTTCGACTCCACCTTTCAGCATATGTGAAGCGCTGATGATTAATTCACTTTTGGCTTTTGAATTTTGTTATTCACACGCCTATGCACGCGTACCTGTGGTCTCTTTATATATACACTGATTGATTTGCTTGCCGGTTAGTAATAAATACACTCCATCTCTAACCTCTGCTTCCCTCCTATTTCTCTCTTCTTTTTACATATAGCAGTGTCAGATAAAATTTTGGGATAATGAATTTTAAACAGCTAAAACTTCAAAATTATACTCCCTCCATCATATAATATAGCATATTTTAGCTACGTATCTGGATAAGTGTGTACAGGTTCAAAGCTAAAAATTGGTATTTTTTGAGATGGGGTAGTATGTCTCATTTTTATCTATTCATCATTGTATTTACAACTAAATTGATAATTTTATCAATTTAAGACCCGTATTGACTTCTATTTTAACTTAAAATTGATATATTATTATTATTAGCGACCTAGGCTGTTTCAGGAGGCAAGGTTCCCAACCTTGCCGCTCGACACGGAACAAAGAACACGATTATAGTGAGATTAATTAAGCATTAGCCTAAAAAACTTGAAAAATGGATTAATATGATTTTTAAAGAAACTTTCATAAAAAAAACTTTTGCAAAAAATGCACTATTTAGTAATTTGAAAAGCGTGCGCGCGGAAAATAAGGGAAGTGAGTTTGGAAAAGAGGGGAAAAGAGCGCAGCCGTAGAGTACTCCTAAGAATTTTCTATATAATTCAAAATTAGTAGACTAAGCCACCACTTAAACATTAATAACCTTGTAAAACATAATTAACATGCTTTTTAGTTACATAGTATCGTATCCATGGAGCATTCCTAACCTACCATGTGACGCTCCAATAAATTATGAAAGATTCCTACGAATTCTATGAAAAAAAAAACATCTAGCCATCAATTTTTACTTAATGTGATAAACCCATTATTTTCAACCAAGCTTAATGAAGAAAAACCCATGTCCTAAACCCCACCCTGGCCTATACATGGACACAGACATGCTTACTCCCATCTTCTGTCCCCTCTCTTATTATTCACTCCCTCTCTCTAAATCACGTTCCCTATCCCATTTTCTTGCTATACCTTAGAAAGCAAATTTTGAGACAAAAGATTATTAAGAACAAAAATATACTTTTTGAGAATATTTTTCCTTCCTTGGCTTCTTGGATATATTCCCTTAAGGGTGATCTCTTTCTTTTGTTGTTTAGATTGAACGAGAGAGATAAAGATGTAATTTTAAACTGGATTAGGTTGTTGTAATCTTTTTGGTTCTTTCTATTATTAATAATTTTTTTTAACACGGGGGCCTCCCCTGCTGTGATGTTTTCAAAAAAAAAGAACAAAAATATACAACTAACTTTTCAGGTTGTTTGAACTGTTATTTTATTTATAAGTGAATAAATAGTTCATGATCCATATTACCAATGGGAGAATATATATGACTCCTAAAGAAAGTTCACTAGATTGAACCAATTGGAGAAAATATCTCAAATTCATTAAAAATGCTTCATATTTTCACTTAAATTGGAACAAACATTGCCTATTCTATTGCCATAACCATCTTAAGTGTTTATATACTAATAATGTAATTCAATCTATCATGTACCGTATACCATAGACTTAGGTGTTTATTAATATATTATTGCATATATACAAGCCGCACTAAGGCAGCAAGTAGTTGGTTTAGAAGTTATATTTGTTACTATAAAATTTAAATTTTAGCACTTATGTTGAATACGTATTTAAATAAATTCTATAGATCACATATCATATGGAAACAAGATATGTGGATATATTTTCTTTATTCATTCATATATATGTAAGAATGTAACAAATTGTGTGAGCATGAACCAATTAGAAAGAGGGGCAGCTTTATGGTACAAATAAAACTCATTGTTAGTAATAATAATTTTCTAGGATTTGTTCAAAAATAGAGCAAGTAAACATTCAACTTGCAAGGAAAACACCTTATTTTTAATTTACACTTAATTTGTTAGAAATTTGTTTTAAACAAATTAAGTCAACCTTCCTGCAAGATAATGAGAAACATTATAATTAATTTCTTACCGGCATGAATAAATATTGTATAGTTTAAAGCTAAAGATAGGTTGGAAAAATTATGCAAGCAATGCCGATGAAGAAAATTTGTAGAGAAATAGTACTTTTAAAGCGTGGTAGGTGTCATCGAGTTGATATATATTCTATTATTATAAGTTTCTTAAAAAATACGAATCCGCGTGAATGCCCTCGCGATACATGCCCGCACAAATGCACGAGCTACCTTCCTAGTTGTAATAAAAATAACAAATATATATGCGAATGTACGTTAACTATTTTCAGTTTAATTTGTTTCTTTTATTGCAACTTGTAGAAGTCGAATTTGGTCTTACATGTTTGTGGAGTGATATATTTCATATTAATCTATGTTGTTAATTTTTTTTTCAAATTTTTTTATAACTATTTAGATGACGTGCAAACAAGGATGGAAATCCATACCCGAAACAGAGGCCTTGTTTAGTTGCGGAAAATATTTAGGTTTGGTTACCACATCGGATATACAGACACATATTTGATATTTGAAGTATTAAACGTAGTCTAATAATAAAACAAATTATAAGTTCTGCCAAGAAACTGCGAGACGAATTTATTAAGCCTAATTAATCCATCATTAGCAAATATGTACTGTAGTACCATATTGTCAAATCATGGTGTAATTAGGCTTAAAAGATTCGTCTCGCAATTTACACACAATCTATGTAATTTGTTTTTTTTTTGTATTTAATACTCCATGCATGTGTCCAAACCATTTGATGTAACAGCGTAAAAATTTTTGTTTTGGAAACTAAACAGGGCCAGAGTAACAGAAAAAGCATTGTAATGACTAATGAGAGTAACAGAAGCATTGTTAACGGAAGCGACCTGCTCTGGAAGACGTCATAAATCCGCCCCTTGATCGCCATGAGTAGCGGCTTCTCAGGGTTGGACCTGTCGTACTGCAACAACTCCTCCGCCATGATCTCCCCCACCTGCACCGGCTCCGGAGGCGGCAGGACCTCCTCGCTGGGCTCCTCCTAGGGCCTCGCCGGCGGAGGCGGTGGTGGCAACACGAGGAGACTGGACCTCACCTTGTAGACCACCACGGCGATCACCACCACCGGCGACGCACTCCTCGCCGCCACCCACAGCACCACCGCTGCCACGACCACGGCTACCGTTAGATTTTCCAAGCAAAAAAAATCCCACGCGAGACAAGAACATATCTTACCCTTCTTCGAGATCCCACCGCTTATAGGCCGACCACTGCATCACACGACACTGCCGCGTGGCGGCCGACCAGGGAGGTAGACAGAGGAGGCGGCGCGCCGCCGCGCCATGGCCGGCTACATGACGACGATGGCTGGGCGAGTGCAAGCAGCGGAGCAAGTCGCCATTTCGAAATAACGCTTACCAAACAGACTCTCGTTTGTTTTTCTACATAAATTGGAACCAAAATCACTCACGGTTTGGACAAATAAATCTTAAAATCACTCACTGAAAAGTCAAGTCAAAAATTCGTCAATGACTTCATTCCTAGTCAGTTTAATTTGGTCAATGATTAAACCAAATTAGTGAGCAAAAGCTTAGGAAAAAATTTAAAGTACAGATTTGGTTGGGGTGCACCGAGACAAGGCAGCAGTGCAAAGCCTAGGCGACACATGAGGGCCCCAGTAGCGAGCTACCGTGGTGGGCCCTCCCTCACAAAATACTAATTTAATATCCGTGGACACATGGCCCACGTATCATATATTAAACTAATAAGAACAGATACTACACTTGATCTTAGTCAAAAGGCCGAGAAAGGTATGCTTTACAAGACAGTATCGGGTCGCATTATATACAGCGCCTCAGTCTCCCCTCTACCGTGGCTGGGCGAGGTGGTACTAAACAATTCTGCAGCGTTTTAGTTTTTACTCCGTTCGGCCCGAGACTAGCGCTGGGAACATCGGTGCAGGAAGCCCAAGCGACGTGACCTATGTTGTTTTCGCAAGTATTTCCAGATTTCATGTTCTAGAAAAAAAAATGATCTTCAGATTCTTTGGAAAACAGAAGAATTCTAAACTGATGGAAGAAAATTAGTACTCCACAAGAAAATCAACGTGCCAGTTGACGCGCCGGCTAGTTTATACTCGTGCAAACTACATATAATATAAAAAGTTACTTTACATGAGTTCTTTAATGCCCATAACCTTTCAAAGGACATAGCCTTTTAATTTTTAAAAGGACATGTTAGTGGATTTTAATTGTGTTTGTAGAAATGAACTGAAATAGGATTTGATTGTCAATAATTATTTTGGATTCAGGATATACTATTTAATTTTGACGATATTAGGAAAAAAATAGAGAAAATGTATGTTTTCTTAAAATTGTAGCGACTTCATAAAACCTAAAAAATTGTGTATAATTCATTACAGATTGTAGTATTAGGAGAAAATAAATATTGTAAAAATAATATTTTTCAGGATTATAAAGTTTTATCCAACTTTTATATTATTTATACAATTTACTTTTCATAATTATTGTTTTAATTTTGTATAAGTATAGAATATCGATGTGACCCGACTCAATTTTTAAGTTGAACCCATACTATGTTTATCTATCCAAAGATTTTGCAAAATTATTTTTACTTGTTTCTTTCTTCTATGTATCCTTTCCACGTATTTCTGCTTGCTTTGTGCATGAGATTAACAAATACGGCAACGCGTCAACACTCATATGTACTACCTCCGTCCAAAAATATAGCTATTTCTAGCACAGTACTTTGTTCCAAAATGAAGCTATTTTTCTAACTACCTTCTCCTCTCAACCAATCACAACCATTCTTTTTCACCTACTTTCTCTTTTCAACCAATCACACACCTTCTTTAATTATTCTCACCTATTTTCTTAATATCCGTGCTAACCTCAAAAATACTTACATTTTAGGACGGAAGAAGTACTAATATAAAAAAGAGTTCACCCCTACATGCCAAATCAACGGGTTAAATCCCTACCGTCCATTCGCACCTCAGGTGTAATCCGTACCATCCACCCATCTCCGACGCATGATTTCACCCTCTCCACGCGCGGTCTCCGCGCAAAGAATACGCCTCATCACCCTCTTAACACGCGACTCGCTCCTCCTCGCGTCGTCGTCCCATTCCGCCGCCGCCGCCGTGCACTCCACCGCCTCCGCTGCGCACTGAACCGAGGCGAGGTCTTCCCAACCACCGCCGGAGCCGTGGTCTTCCCCATCCGCCGCGGCCGGCCGCAGCAGGAGCCGACGTCGTCCCCATCCGCCGCCGCCGCCGCCGCAATGCACCGCTACCCTCGAGGTCGTCGCTTTCTTCCGCCGCCACGCACTGAACCGGAGGCGAGGTCTTCCCCAGCCCCCCATGGAGCCGAGGTCTTCCCCATCCGCCGCCGCCGCCGCCGCGCACTCCACCACGATTTCTCCGCCCATCCGCTGCTCCATCGCGATTTCTCCGCCGCTGCAACCTCTGCCCCGCCGATCGCACCCTATCGCGTCGCCGGTTCCTCGCGCCTGTTGCCGAGTCCGAGTCAATCCGATTGGTTCATCCGTCGAGGTTGCCCCTGCCAGGGAGGCCAAGCCGATCCAGCATCTGATCCACCTACTGGCCCCTCCCCGTTCTCTGCTCCTGACACCGTCTGACATCAACCACAGGCCACCAGCAACTGCACCTGCACCCTGTTGCTCGCATGATTGTGATGACACATAATCTCGATCTGCAACTCATTGTCTCCATTTTCTCAAGCCGGAACATTTGGGATATTATGGCAGGAGCAGCGTGGAGTCAAAGCCCTACTCCGTAGAGGGCTCGAGGCTGAGCGGATCCGGCCGCTTCCGCCACCCGGACCACTCAACCGGCTTGCCTGCACCCTGATGCTCTCTCAGCAATCGCCCGGCCACTCGCTTCCTCTCTTTGAACATAGCTGGGGTGTGCGACATGGCTATGGTGGAGGATCTGCCCCCACCCAGGTGAACCCTCACTTCAGACTGTAGATTGCAACAGCTGTATGTAAATTACAATAACGATTTCTCTATTAACTATTATGATGAACCTGCAGTTTAATCTGAAAATTTAGGCAAAATGTAACCGTTGCAGTGCTTTGTTTTCTTTCTCAAACACACCATTCCAGTCTTTTGGAATGACCCTAAAGCTGACCAATCACTTGTGAAAGAATCCTCTACTTTGCAGAAGCAGAAGCGTTACTTGGCATATATACTTTGTAGAAGCAGAAACACAACTTGGCGGTGGCTGGTTTATTTAGCAATCTCTACTTGGCTTTGATGGCCAGTGTGGTAATTAATTTCAGAAATCTCCGATTCTTGTTGACAAAATTTCTTTTGTAGGTTGAACATGGTGATTTCATACATTTATCAATGATGGATTATCTGCTTGCCTATTCTTTCTGTTACATCAGTTGTGGGATGTTTTTCTGTTAAATTAATCTAGGTTGCTCTCTTGATCTGGTCTAGACAGAAGCAAAGGTTGCAATAAGGAAAACAAAAGGAAAAGGTGAGAGAGGGGCTTAGTATACCTCTTGACTGTAGCTGTGTCAATTTTAGTTCAAATGTTTATTGGTTTTGTCATTTATACTGCACTGTTGTTCATGAAGAACAAGAAGAATTTGTATTTGGTCTACTTAATTGATCTAAATTATGTAGAACTTCATGATTTCCTTCAGTGCAAAATATTTATTAAAAACTGCCAAATGTAGTTTTTTTTCATTTTTTTTGTATCCCTATAAAAAACTGCTAGAACCTTTTTTTACCACGTGCAAACTAACATTTGCAATTTTTTTAACAAAGAAGCAGTCTTACATCATGTGTGAGGCCAGGTATCAACATTTTCTTCAGTGCAACAGTCTTTTCTATTCTAATCTGCTACTAGAAGATCATGTGCCTCACATTTTACAGGATCATTGATGATATGAGTGCTTAAGGATGCTATTTTAAATTATTGGTTTTCTCAGCAAGCAAAAGTTTCCATGGTTTTATCTGATTTATTTTTATTACCTCACACTTAGGATATATAGCATATTGCATTATGTTATCTGATTTGGATATTCTTGAACTGTAGCCCTTTAAAATTAACACTTATATTTTAGTTACAGAATTAAGTTTTATGACTTGGTTTTAGTTTTACATATCTTTCTTCAAAGTTCAAAAATAAAAATTGTAAAATCGTATCTGCCTGCCACCTTATATCTTGCATAAGTTGAGGCTTTTTACCATCCTTAGGAAAAAAATGTTCTTCAGGTATTGGAAGTATAACATTTGTATTTGATTTTACAATGAGGGCATGAAACTCGCTTTCTGCTAGACTCAAACTGAACCATTTTGGTTGATACCCTAACATTTTGCTCTACCATATAACTTATTTCACTATTGCAACTTTATTTAGACTGAAAGAAATTTCTGGAGTTTGGAAAAATCGGTTATGCTCATTCAAAAATGTATGTCTAACAACACATGTGATACTCTTTTCCAAAAATTGTACAAATACTTATTCAGTTTGAGAGTATTTCAATGTTCCTGGTTTAGTTTTCATTTTTTTCTCCAAGTAGTGATATTCTTTGGTTAATTTTGTTTTTTTTTAATGCAGCTCAAAATATCCATGTCAACTTGAAGTTATTGTGGATTGCAGATTGTGAGGGTTACATTTGAAGTTATTGTGGATGACACGAATCAATTGTGTAGATACTTGTGTTCTTTTCTCTTACTTAGGGGAGTTCTCTTGAATGCACCTGAAGACAACTCTTTTGCTTTGAGCCTTTCAAGTGTTTGTTAAGTTGTGAAAAAGTGTGTCCATTTTGTAATGTTGTCTACTTTGCACCTCCACAACAAGTGTCCAAGAGGGGGTTACCAAAGTAGGCTAGATCATGTTAGAACATATTGTTCTTAAACTTGTGTATTTGTATGTTTCATGCGACATTTATTGTGGAAAACACAATAAACTTTCAGGGTATTCATATGTTTCTTGCGATTTACCATATATGGAAAACGTATTACACGTGTACGATTACTAGGCAACGCAAACACCAGAGCGATCTGCATGATGGGCGAACGATCAGGCCCACACCAGTGGCTTTGTACGGCCCAGCTTGGTGCCACCGTACCAAACCAGCACAACGCCCAGGACCGCTTATTTTCTCTTTTCCTTTCGATTTTTAAGCGCGATGTCCAGATTGATCAAATCGCTGAGCAGGGTGTCAAGCTATATATGGCCAACTAAACCATAATTTGCTAATCCCTTCGTCCCATAATACAGTAGCATAGAATCATATGACATATCTAGATTCGTTATAGCATATCATTGGACTTTATATTGCTATATTATAGAAGGAAGAGAGCACTAGTATATATATATATATATTTGACAACATATACGAAGACATGATAATAATACGGCGACATGCATCGCTGTTCTTGGTCAACGTATACGGCTCAGTATTTTTCGCCATCTCACATATCGGTATAGCTTACTCGATTTTATTGCCACATTTTTTATATAGCTAAATCGTGTGTTGTATATACAAGTTTTCTATATCAAAGTTCTTCAAAAATCAAATAAATATTGTTTTCAAGTTTTTAATAATTAATACCTCCTCCGTCTCATTTTAAGTGCAACCGTAAGTTTCCGTGCCCAACTTTGACCATCTGTCTTATTTGAAAATTTTTATAATTAGTATTTTTATTGTCATGAGATGATAAAACATGAATAGTACTTTATACGTGACTTATGTTTTTTATTTTTTTTTAAAAACAAATTCAGATAAGATGGACGGTCAAAGCTGTACAGGGAAATCATGGCTGCACCTAAAATGAGACGGATGGAGTACTTGATTAGGGCAAGTTTTACAATAGATGTGGTAGTCACCTCCAATTTTATCCACATCATCCATCTAAAAAATTAAAATTAACTTATATAAATGCATTGCATTTTATACACTAGTCCCACCAATCAGCCATCTCATTTTCTCATGTTTCTTTAAGTTTTGCCCCTTACATGAGAGGTGGCTCATCCCCTCTCTCTTCTCTTCTCTTCTCTACATCATCATTTAAACATACATGTCACTTTAGAGTTTGTGCTTAGAACTTGCCTTAATAGGTTATCTCGCTTGGCATGCCACCAAAATTTCTGCCAAACCACCCATCAGAACAAGCCCTTAGGCTAAGTTCTAATCACATTAATGGATTATCTGTTTTCTCAATTTTAACTAAGCACGTTTAATTTTTCAAATTACTAAGCGTCCGGTGTCTGTTCTCTAAAATATTTAACGGTAAAAGTTTTTTTAAAAAAAATCAAATAAAGTTTATAAATTTACAGTAGTTACTCTAATACTTAATTAATCTTACACTGATCCTATCTTATTATAAAGTTACAGCCCACTAAATCCTAAAACTCAGCATACAGAAATGCCACACGTCATCATCCACTAACAATTATTATTTTAAACATCGACTATAAAGTTATAACCCACTAAATCCTAAAATTCAGCATGCAAAGACGCAACGCCGTCATCTACTAACAATTATTATATCTTAAAAATCATATAAACATGCTATATTATCTATAATTATATAATTTATTAAATTTTAGAACTTTAGAATGCAAGCATGTTAAATCATCATCCCAATTAATTCAAATAATATTTTAATATATCTCTCCATCATTTTTATAATATGCTATATACCTATACAGTTTATCCTCACTTTGATTAATGTTATTTCTTTCTTCTCTCATTAAACTATATCACATCAATTGTTTTTAGCACTTAGATGATTAATCTATGGTCCAAATTATTTTCCTCATTTTCTTCTCACATTAAGTCATATCACATCAATTGCTTTTAATCCTTAGATGATTAATTTATAGTCCAAATTACCCCCTCCTTTTCTTTTCTCATGAAACCTCGTCACCTTACTTTTATATTTGGATCGTTATTCTATATACTATTTAAATTATCACAAACTATATCAACTTATACGAGCTTATATCATCTATCTTACATATTATTTCTACTTACTGCTATCATACTAAACTTCCGCAGTAACACGAGGGTTTCATCTAATGATTTATATTTTTTATGCATGCAAGGGAAAAGCTCAAGACAACCACTCACTCCAACGCAGTCTTAGTGATTTATATTGACTCCCTCCAACTAATCCATTTTATGATTGATGCGGTCTTCAATACCGCTTTAACCTTTAATATCTATAAAATTAAGTTATTAAAATAAAAAGACAATAACCTTTGTGATGAACATGCACGCTCAAGCTGAAGCCAGGACGACGTTGTACGAAACAAGCGGCCGTTCTTTTAATTTATTTATTAACATACATACATTTTATCTCGATTTTCATTAGCGTGTTTTTCAAACAGTTAAATAGTATATTTCGTGTGAAAACTTCTTATACAGAAAATGTTTTAAAATATGAGATAAAATTCATTTTCAAGTTTGTAATAATAAAAATTTATTTAATTAAACCCTAATGATTTTCTTTATTACTCTAGTATCATCTTAATTAGAAATAAACTATAAATACCACCATAAAAAGAAGCTATTTTTTGATAAATAATCTAGTAGCATCATTCTGACGTGGTTAGTCTATATTAGAAAGAGAGGGTACTAACATGTTACTAATAATTTTCTTTATTTAAAATCACATTGCAACTCATGAGTAATATGCTAGTTTAAATAAATAAAGTTATCATGTATTTAAATGCAAAGTAGTACATATGAGTATATGAATTACATATTGGTCGAGCTATTATTACCAAAATGTCACTTTAAGCCACCTCTAACTCAATATTTTCACTTAGCTAGATATTGTTACTAATCCTTTACAATTTGGGCTAGTGACCAACTTATGTCACTTTCAGCCACCTTTAACTGAATCTTTTCACTTAAAATCAAATATTGCTACCAATCATTTTAATTTAGGCTAGTGGCCCACCTGTCAATAGGCTTATGAGAGAAAAGGAGAAAAAAGGGAAAGGTTCTCACCTGCTCGGTGGGGATGGCGATGGCAAGCTCCTCTGCCATGGAAGCATTAGCCACCCTTCCCTCCTATCCTCCTCCACGCACTTCCACCGCAGCTTCTCCCTCGTCCGCAGTCGTCCTCTCTTCCTCCACCATGATGAACACCACTGCTCCTCTCTCTCCACCTTCGACAGCTCTTCTCCTTTACTACTTTTACCACTTTCGAGTGTAGAGCTTGCTCTTTTGCCACAGTGCACGCCGCCACTCCTCACCTCTCGCATATAGAAGCACCCGCCAATCGTCTCTCCTTCCTCCCCGTCATCATGCATGGTGATGTCCTAGTGGAGCTGTGGAGGTCAAGGCCAACAGCATGGGCCAGAGGGAACTCGGATCCAACCATGGTGGACATCAGTGACGCTAGATAGGGCTCCTCCTTGTTGCATCGGGCATAAGTGAAGAAAGAGGTTATCACCTCACCTTCGTCACGAGGGAAGAACGAAAGAGGTGAGATAGTGTTCGTGAGAGAATAGGTTAAGATGTGGCCGGTGTTGCAATGGGAGCCGCGGTGGCAGTCGTCCGAGTAGTAGGATTGATTGGATGGGGGGGTGATCTAAGTTGAAACAAAAGATAAAGCTAGTTGGTGTTAAGTGAAAAGATGTGCTGAAGGGTTGTCCAATATAAAAATCTGATAAGAACATCTATCCCAAACTGCGATTTACTCTTAACTTTTTAATGAAAAGAGTGGATTGTAGTATACACCACCGACATTTTGCACAACATAACAGCAAGGTATACAGAAGAGACTACCAAACATTATCCATTCTTATTATTGCACATGATTTTCACTGTATTGACAAAGTTTATACGAAGAAACACAGTATCAATGATTAAAAATTTCAAGATACAGCACAGAACATTGGTAACTGGGGCTTGAATCATTCCGAACCACCTAGTAGTATTGCTCGAGTACCCCAGTGCAGGAATTACTCAAATGTCAAGGACCAAATTGGATTCATGCTCTATTTTTTCTTCCTGCCCTTAGCTCTTATACTACCTAACTAAGCTCTTTATTCAAGAAACAAGCCGCAATGAAGCAGGAAAACCCATCTATCTACCATACCACACCTATGATGATATTGTAGGGCTGTCAACTGCAAGCCCCATTGTATTGAGTCCATTGTCAACGTAAACAGTCGAGCCAGTGATAGCGGAAGCCAATGGAGACACCAGGAATGCTGCTGTGTTCCCCACTTCGTCTGTTCGACATACAAAATGCTTTCGTTAGAGTATATCTGGATGAAAAGTTGTTCTTTTAAATAAAACAAGAAGCATATGTAACAGAGAAATAAGGCGGTTTTGGACCTGCCAACAGTTCTTTCTGCAACGGTGCATTAACATAAGAGTATTCTATCATCTTCTCAATGAATCCAATTGCCTTGGCAGCTCGGCTTCCCAAAGGACCTATGAGTAAATTTAATAAATCAGAATGAACTCACAATTATTCCTACATCGTTAAAGTAAGAGATCCTAAATAATTATGCAAATCATATCCAAGGGAAATAGCACATCATATGCATGTGCTGACAAACCGAAATTCACATGTAAAATTAGAAAGAAATGTTGCATCATTTGTCATTAATTTCCAAATGGTATCGCATAGGCAATCACCTAGTTCCAAGATTTACAATGCTAGCTTTATTCCAAGAGAATATTCCTACAGAAGAAAATACCTGCAGATATGGTGTTAACTCTGATTTTCCCTTTCCTTCCAGCTTCAAAAGCAAGTACCTACAAAGATTTGCAGAAAAAGATTAAAAAAGTACATTCATGGTACATACTCCCTCCGTCCCAAAATAAGTGCAGCCTTGTAGTTCAAATTTGAACTAGAGGGTTGCACTTATTTTGGGATGGAGGGAGTGTTGAAAATAACATATATATTCTAGAAGACCATACTTTTGTGTCACTCTCAAGAGCTGCTTTAGCTGAACTCATGCCACCACCATATCTAAAAATATATATAATCAGAATTACCACCGGTAAGTAATGATACAAAATGCTTTGTATTTTAAATCTCAAATAATGTAGTTACCCAGGAATTGCCCTTTCAGATGCAATGTATGTTAGAGAGATGGAAGCACCACCTGGAAATATTAAACATATATGAGGCAGTGCCAATGAAAATAGTATAGGTTAGTATAGGTTGAGCGTCATAACAAGTTATTTCTTAATGCAATTGGATAAATTTCAGCATTGCTGTTCAGTCAGAAAAGCTTGATCCAGATCAGAGCAGGAGACAAGTTACACATAAGTAAACAGCAGCATTACTATGATTCACTGGACAAATAAAACTGCAAAGATATGAAAGGCAGTAACGGCTTGATTTATCTAGGAGTGTATAAGATAGCGGTTCAAGTGCAGGCGTGGAGAGTTAGAACTGCGGAGTAAGCACTACCTGGATTCATTATAGGAAGGAAGTGCTGAAGCAAAGAGACGAAGGAGTAACTCGATGCTGACAGTGCAGCAAGATACCCTCTTCTTGATGTCTCCAATAGTGGTTTTGTTACCTTCAAACAGAGGTAGGTGATCATTAGTTGAAAGCGTAACACGTATGGACAATAATTTCATCACTAGCAGTAAGCACAGAGGAATATAGGCAGAGGCACTATACCTCTGGACCATTAGCTAGAGAATGCACCAAAATGTCAATGCTGCCAAAGTCATTCTTGACTGACTCAGCAACTTCCTATCAAATAAAAATAGGAGTAGTTTAGTCAAAGCTCAAAAGCTTAAAAAACAATCCAATTATAGAAATTGTATAACGCGCCTAATGTTGTTTTTGCACACCCAAGTATATCAACTGGGTAGACATATGGAATGAAATGGATTGCATCTACACACCTTAACAGTCCAATTTGATGACCCAGCATACCTTTTGTTTCCTTTGACCTAAAATTAAAAATAAAAATGATTGTCATAAAGCCGCATTGGGAGCTAAACAGAAGAAAATAATAGATAAGAAAATTACATCTTCAGGAACATCTTCAGGGGAATCATAGACAGCATCAAGTGGATAGACTTTAACAATTTCCATAAGAGATCCATCAGGCAGCCTGTATCAAGAGATAGTTAGATAAGAGTTAAATGTTATTTTCAGAGCAAAGCTAGATAAAACAAGAAAAATAGAAATATAATACAAACTTTCGTGATTCATCAAACTTTCCACGCCTTAGGCTTGTCTCAAATATGTTTAGTGCCTGTGCAGGTAGAACTCTCCATTAAGTGAATGACAAAGAGGAAAAAAAAAAATGATCCCTATTGAACACTGCAAGAGTTGGATCCACTTACAGGCACCCATGTACCAACAAGAATTTCAGCACCAGCAGCAGCAAGAGCCTTTGCAATTGCCCAGCCATAGCCATTGTCATCAGCAACTCCAGCAATGAACGCCCTTTTACCTGAGAGATCATACAAACATTAGAAGAGTGGCAGCAATTGAGAAGGATTTGTACTACTAATATGCTCGAGTTCTCTGTTTTTTTGAAAAAAAAATCTCTCCTTTAGTTTTTCAATCAAACCAATAACAAAAGCAATATGACAACAAATCAAAATACTTGTAATTACTATGCAAAATTCTGTATAATTGTGACCATCTGTTAATAATTGGATAATGCTATGGGCCACTAAACTTCATTACAGCTGACGAAAGCATTTATATTTGACCTTTTTTTAATGAGCAAGCACATAAAGTTGATACTTCCTTAATATGTAGAGTTCATGAATGAGGCCTTCAAAAGGCACATAAGTTCTAAAAAAAAAATTCTCAAATAATTAAAAGAAATTTAGCTTGATATTTCTCATCAAAATTTTCAAGACCCTACCTTAGCATGAATATACAGTATGTCAAACCCAACTTTTGCTTTTCTTTAGAATATTTAAAGCATCTACATCAAGTAAAAATGGAATTTAAAACACTTTCATTTGCACAGGATATGCTCCCTGGTATACTGGTAATTGCTCATATGTTAGTCTACACGGTGATGTATGAGGCTGGCTCTTACAGCATTATCAAAGAGTAGTAAACGCAATATTACTACTGAATCACCATTAGATCGTCCATAAAAGATAACCAAAACAGCAGTAACCTTTTTCCCGAGGACCAGAATGTAAAATACTAGATTCCATAAAGCACGCAGTTTTTACAATTAGATGGTTTGAACTAAATAAGCACACACCATTCAAACATTCACCACAGCTGACGGGGTTAATAATATTTGGCTTCAACCATATAGTTAACCAAAAACCAACGTATGCCATGAGCATCTATGCTTGTTAGATGCAAAAGAAAAATTGAGAAAATAGAAGCTAAGCAATCAAAATGTTGCACGGAAACATGAATGCGTAAAGGAAAAGAACATGATCACATAGCATTGCTAGGTGCATGATTACTACAGATATGCAGCTAAAGAGTTACCTCTAAGATCAATTGGTAGGCCTTGGGGGCCACTTTCGCTTGACATTGCTCTGATGGCGACACCGCTGCGCTTGGAAGAACCAAGAGGGCTGGAGTAGCAGATTCTGGGACAGGTTGCAAAGCCAGTGGTGGTGCTGAGTGCGCGGCCAATCCGGGAGACCGCCGCCCTGGAAGTAAGCATTCCCTGGGAGGCTGAGATGCAGGGGCGTGCAGCCACCATCTGCATACCGGTAGCTGCAGAAGCGCCCATCGTCCTGCTGCATCAAAAGATCATCACAGCACACATTACACGAATGATCTGTCCTTCTACTAACTCAGCCTCAACTGTTCAACCCGTATTCAGGCAAACAGAACAAATCGAAACAAAGATACAAGATTTGTATCACCTCCATTCTCCAAAGCTCACTCGAGAAACTAGTATTTCAGAACTATGGAATCTATCAAAAAAGAAAAAAAAAAACAAGCCTAAAGAACCTATCCTGCACAAACAAATCAAGAGAGAAATCTAACATGCAAAACCGGCGACGCAGCGCTCAAATCATTCCCCACCCAGGCCAGGAGCACGATTTGGACAGAACAAACATTTCGCTGATAAACCCTGGGGCAAGAAAAAAAAAACCCGCATCCCCCACTTGACCTGTCCAAGAAACAAAACAAGACAACACAAACAAAACATCTCCAACTCTCCTCCTTTCTCCCGCAAAGCACAGATCAGTGAAACACCGCGCCACGCACAGCGAGCGAGGAGGTGGGCGGCACGGATCGGGGACGAGGGAGGAGGAAGCGGGTGGCTCACCTCGGGAGAAGGTGGAATGCACGAGGGATCTGGGAGCTCGGCGCGGCTGCTGGTCGCTGTGGAGGCGGAGAAGGCGAGGGGGAGTGGTAGTAATAGTGGGGGTTTTCGATGAGACCGAGGGAGGGAGGAAGAGAGGAGGGGGGTTCGTGTTGGCGACTCCGCGGAGTTGGCCGGACGGGCGGAGTCGAGTCGCTGAGAAACCAAGGGAAGCGTGGCTGCTTGTTTGTTACTACTAGGAAGGGTTTTTTTTGGGCCTTTCTGCTGCGTCGGTGGGCTTTTCATTCGGCCCTGAGTGGTGAACATGATGAGCTGAGAAGCCCATCGCTTGTGGCACCTACTGCTTGAGAACAGTGCATTCCACATAATCAAGAGAGAGACTAGAGGATAGGATACTTAAGGGTGTGTTTGGTTCACGGTCATGCATGGATGGGATATGTCCATACATATTTTGATGGATATGGCTATCCAAATTTTTGTTTGGTTTGTATAGATATGGCGATCCAATTTCTTGTTTGGTTGGAGGGATATAGCACGGATGGGAAAAGCCATAAGTTAGTGGGACCCATTTGTCATATATATTTTTTTATCAAAAATATAATCATCCGAGATCTTGTTTTAAAGATTTAATTGTAACAAATATAATAGTGTAATCAAATCATAAATTAGATAAACGGTTTAGGAGAAAAAATCATTTGGAGCTTGCTTAACAGAAAATCAAACCAACCACACCCAATCAGAATAGGCCATATCACCCAGACCAATCAGTGCTATCACTGAATCCTCCCTCTTCTTTTCCTATGTATAGCTGAGCTTTCGCATGCAAGCAAATAGCAACTGTACTTATTGTTTTTTTTTGTCTCGCTAGCCACATCAACAGAAGGGAAGAGGGGCACGTTGAGGAGAGGAAGAGAGGAGATGATAGGATATGGCAGCAGGGAGCTCACTAGCTGGCCTAGCGACGATGGCGTGCGTTCCCTCCTTTCACCTGGTACTTAGTACCTGATACCTGTGGGTACCGGCTGGTACCTAGGTATCAGATCTTGGTATCTGGCTACCAGGGCTGATACTTGTGGGTATCAGTCGTGATTCCCCGAGGTACTATGCCTGATACTTGGTATCAGCTGTGATATCCTCGACGTTTCACAGCTGATATCTGATACTAGTCTAGTAACTTACCTACCTATAATGAAGAGGAGCAGCACAACGAGCTAGCGAGGAGTACCACAACCTCAAGACCCGCATAAACTCCGAGGTTGACCTCACGCTGAGAATGACCAACTATGCATTACCATTGTCCGTTGGTGCCCCTGACCTCATCCCCCTTTCCCTGACCTCCTCCCTCTTCTCCCTCCCCAGCCACGGCAAATGGCAACCTCACCACCGCAGTTACCTTCCTCCTTGCCAACTTGATCGATTCCATCAACCATATAACCTCGTTGGACTCCACATGCCCAATAAATGCGGTGTAGGGAAGGCGAAGAGAATGGGACATGCCATCAGTGTTAGGGATGATGGCGGTCGGTCCTCTGGCGAAGGGAGGTTGGATTGATTGGAGTGGAGGAGTTGGGGGAGGGAGCAAGGTGGAGGATGGAGAGAATGAGTTTGAGAGAAAGGAGGAGAAATAGTTCTAGGGAAGAAGAAACGGAAGGATGTTGGGGTGTTCATTATTAAGTAGTATCCTATCTCATGGGATTCCGTTCACTAGTTTTTCTGCATAATCAAATCCTTAAGGTCTTGTTCGGATAATCCCTTTTCCCTCGATGCACTCCAATTCCTTCCTTTTGAGGATTAAACGAAAAAGGCTTATTGCAACAGTGCTTCGCATACACATATCCACAAAACAAGCACCTATATGGTCGTCTGAATCTGCATAGGCTTTGATCATGAACCTGTGGATTAGTCGACACAAATCACCAGCCTTTAGGACTTCATCTGCACCAATAACTCCATTGCACACTGATACTATCCATCACGTAAAATTAAAGCATTTGAGGAGACCACGTCCGAATCAGGCCATCAATATGTTACTCAATATTTTTTTTACGTAGTGGATAGAAATATCCTGCTGTATATGGCTGTATATCCGCAACACAGCCAAAAGTTACAAGTCTCATAACCGACAAAACAGAAAAGAAAAAGAAATTACTATAAGACTAAGCTTTGGCCTTCTATTGTCTGGCGAGACCTACCGCACAAAAAACCTTACTGGGTCAATCTTGATATGCAACCCGAACTCCTAAAACCCTCATCCATATTTCAATCACATTAGATCAGCTCCTTCCACTACTCTTCCCTTGTCGTCAGTCGGACCCATTCGATTCGATCAAACAATTTATGGCCCCTAGTGGCTTCGCTTGCAATGCCAACCAGTGGAGGTCGAAAAGAAGAAACCCCTTAGCTTGCTGCTAGCCTGCTATATAAAAAGATTCAGGAACGAGCATCGCAGATCTAGCGGCATTTAGACCCTAGATCCAACGTTGTGCCCCATCTTTCGTCAGCTATGCCAACCTATCCACCATCTCATTATGTCAATGCCGCTCCTCGTTGTAGACACCTTGCATTCTCACTACAACAACCTTTTTGACACCCGGGAGTGATCTGGCCATTAGGTTGGGTCAATCCACCCTGGATGTCACTGGCACCTTCAACGATCTACCACCACCGACTCCAGCAGTCTTCATCACCACTTGGACCATCACCTTGTTGCCACCACCAAGATGCTCGTAGCCCCTAAGGATGTTAAGCGCAAGACATGGAAGAACAACTCATACTTTGCTAAATGATCTATTTTATTATGTTAGAGATATTTCGCTTGCTTTCCTAACTCTAAAGTCTCTAATGTTGGTAGAGTTAAGTTTAATATGCTAATAGTTCAATTCATTTACAATCACCGAGCAATATAAATCTTATTATCCCTAAATTTTCATTTGAGAAAATTGCACCGCCGGTGCATCAACTTGGTAGGTGGATGTAATATGGTGCAAGAACTTGAGAAATGAGTAATCTAGTGCAACAACTTGGCAGGTAGGTGCAATTTAGTTTAAGAACTTTATAAGTGATCACATAAATGCAACAACTTGTAAGGTAGGTACGATTTTGATATAATAAATTAAGAAGTTATGCGGCAACTTTATTATTTGGTGCATATTTATATTGTTATCATAATAACTAGTAACTGAAAATCAATTAAACTGAATGTAGAAATTATTATATTTGATTGATATTTGAGAAGGTGAAGAAAACAAAAAATTCTTAAAAGGTAATTGGATGTAAATTATATGTGCAGTATAATTATTAAAGATTAAATTCAATATTATAAGGTAATATCCGTAGGATTACTATGTAATGGCATATTGACATCGTGAAAAAAATCACCTAGCATATGCTTAGCCAAGTTGATGCGCAAAAATACTAAATTGTCAAGTTCTTGTACTAGAACGCACTCACTTGTCAAGTTATTGCACTTGGACATTTAATTCTCAACTTGTTGCACTATATCGCACCCACTTGCCAAGTTGTTGTATCATTGGTGCAATTTACTCTTTTGGTTTCCTAAAGCTTCTAAAGTTTCTAAATTTGTCCATCATCATTATTTTAATTATCCTCATTATTTCATATTCTAAAGCACTATAATATTAAGGGTAAATTGGATCCATGCCTTGCAAATGTGCGTATTCAAATAAATGTCATTACAATTCATCTATTCGTAGTCGTTCCACTAAAATTTTACAAAATAGGACCATGCCACTGTCGTCACGTTTTCCATCCATCTCCTTTTTTGTTTCATTTTCTTCCTTCTTTTTCCCGTCTTCTTCCCTTGAGCGATATTCCCTGCGGCGGGTGGTTGCTACAACAATAGGGCGATGGGTATGACCGTGCCACTGTGGTGAGCAACACGGCATGACCGTGCCACTGTGGTGAGCAATGCGGCACAGAGCAAGCTGTCATGCAACAACAGCAGTGGGGTTAGTGGTGTCCGCGGCGCTGCTGCCGATCCCGGGGATGATGCAGCTGGTTGTGGTGGCTGCACCGATGAGCCGATTGGTGGAGTCGGCAATGACGTCAATGAGTGGGTGGTTCGTGGCCTCGGCTATGGCGGTGGGAGATGCACTACTGTCGGAGTTGTGACCACATAGAGCGAAGATTGACGCGGTGGTGCGGATGGAGTGCGAGTGGATGCGCGCCGGGCTGAAGTAGGTGCAGAAGCGACAGTGCCAGGCGCTGGTGCGTGTGGCTTCAGCAGCGCGACGACTGCGGGAGAAGGAGGTCGAGCTTGACGCCACCCTCGACCACCTCCTCGCCCCCCGCCCCCCGCCCAAGCCGCCAAGGGCTTTAGCAACTCCGCCCCCCTCGCCGCCGAGGTCAATGATACCTAGTCCTACTGCTTCGAGATGAAGGCGTGCACCGTGGCGGCGCCTGTCGATGATGCCTCCACCTTGCTGACCACACCCAAGTAGTCGTTCAAGTCATGAGGTGAGGGTGACGCCACTGTGCTGCTACTCCTCCCATGTTGCCATATCATCATTGTCATCTTTCACTTGCTGAGAACATCACTTAAGGGAAGAAGACGGGAGAAAGAAGGAAGAAAACGGAAAAAAAAGAGATAGATGGAAAACTTGATGCATGGTGGTGGCACTGTCCTAATTTTATAGAACTAGCATGGTGGCCCGCGCAGATTGCGCGGCTAGCATTATTATATTTTCTCTCATATAATAGCATATATGTTTCTCAATGTATTATTCATATATATTAAAATGACAACATAATTTTAAATTTTGTACTAACATTGCGAAACTACTAATGTGTAATATTCATATTGTATTTTATATACTCTACGTGTTAGTTATTAATTATTTTTAATATTAAATTTTAGTTATTTGTAAATTATATTCCTATATGGACTCCAGACTCGTCTTTCAATATTTCTTTTTTTAATTCTGAATTTTCGTTATCTGTAAATTGTATTTCTATATAGACTCTAGGCTCTTCTTCTAATATTATTTATTTTTAATTCTGAATTTTTTGTTATTTCTAATTGTATTTTTATGTGGACTCTAAACTCATCTTTCAATATTCTTTAATGAGTAAATTGCACCCACGGTACAACAACTTGACAGGTGGGTGCGATATAGTATAAGAATTTAAGAATTGAATGTCCGAGTGCAACAACTTGACAAGTGGGTGCGTTCTAGTACAAAAACTTAACAATTTAGTATTTTGGTGTATTAACTTGGCTAAGCATATCTTAGGTGAGTTTTTTTACTATGTCAACATGCCATTACATAGTAATCATACGGATATTACCTTATATTGAATTTAATAATTATGAATTATACTGCACATAGTAGTACAATTTACATCCAATTGCCTTTAAGATTATTTTTTTTTGGTTTTCTTCACCTTCTCAAATATCAATCGAAATATAGTAATTTCTATATCCAGTTTAATTGACTTTCAGTTATTATTTATTAGGATAAAAATATAAATATGCTTATACAAATCCGCACTAGTATATTGTCAAAATAAGTTCTTAAAAATAGACTTATATAAAAAAAATGTTCCAAGTAATTAAGTTGTCACATAACCTTTTAATTTATTGTATCAAAATCATACCTACCTTGCAAGATGTTGTAGTTATACGATCACTTATAAAGTTCTTATATTAAATTACATCTACCTGCCAATTTGTTGCACTGGAACACTCATTCCTCATGTTATTGCACTAAATTGCACCTACCTACCAAGTTGATGCACCGTGGATGCAATTTACTCTTCTTTAATTTTTAATTTTGAATTTTAGTTACTTCTAAATTGTATTCTTATATTGACTTTTGATTGTTCTTCCCATGTTTTTTTTAAATTTTGAATTTTAGTTATTTGTAAATTGTACTTTTATACGAACTCTAAACTCTAGTTTTAATTTTATTATGTTTATTCCGAACTTTCGTTAGTTTTAAATTCTATATGGACTCTATACTCTATTTCTAATATTCCTTATTTTTAATTCCGAATTTCTATTATTTCTTAATTGTCTAGTCTCCTCTTCCAATATTCCTTATTTTTTTAATTTCGAATTTCAACTATTTTTAAATTGTATTTCTATATGAACTCTATTTTTCTTTTTCTCCGATTAATATGAGAATTTCTAGACCGTGAGAGCGAATGTGGAGGCTCTTTTTTCTATTCCTCTAATAAGTTAATAGATAAATCAATAGATATATTTATATTTTTATTTTGTAATTAATGTTTGTTTTCCTAGACAATTTGAACCAACATGAAGGTTCCTTCTATTACCAACCTAATATGTTAATTTGCAGCACACAAATTTATTTGTTGGACGATCCTTTGCTATAAGATTTCTGGCATTCTTGGGTGCCAATTTGTTAATGAAGTGGATTCCGGCTGCAAAACTTCCGTCTTGCTAATTTGTTGGCAAAGCTGATTGCGGCTAGAAGATTTATGGGTGTTTTGTGTATTTGCTTTCATTGCTAGGAGTATCGATCTATTTATTACTACGGGATAAATCGTGTACAATTCGAAAGCGTATAAATAAATACCGACATGGATGCTAATTCCATGTACGAATCTAATTATGATTGGTTTGTTACTGTTGTCCGTTTCCTACACCATAACCATACACGAATATTTATTGTTATATCACATTTCCAAAAAACAATCCTGTCCGTTTGTTTTCTCTTCTAATTTTCATCCGATTAAGAGTTGTGATTAGTTTCCTAAACCTATACAATGCATGAGTATGTCTCTGGTTGTCACGTTTCCAAAAGAATACATGCCCGTTTGTTTTTTTTCTTTTTTTCTTCGATTAACGTAGTAATTTCTAGGCCGTGAAGCGAACGTGCAAGTCTATGTTTTTTTACATGTACGTAGAGAGTACAATTTGAAATAGATACATATGCATTACTCTGCTTTTGTTTCTGATTGGTTTCACTTTGATAACCATCCTTTTTTCTTCGATTAACGTGGTAATTTCTAGGCCGTAAGAGCGAACGAGGTGGTAAGTCTATGTTTTTTTTTTGACATGTATGTAGAGAGTACAATTTGGAATAGAAACATATGCATTACTCTATTTTTGTTTCTGATTTGTTTCACTTTGATAACCATGTATGACTGTTATTTTCCAAAAGAAAATACTATTTCTAAATTGAAAAAGAATCCAGATAAGCAATCTATAGTATAGGGTGTCCGATTGATTTTTTTTTTGTTTTTCTTTTTTTTTCAGCAGTTAATGCGGTACCGTCTAGGATTTGACTTTTATTTTTTTTCTTATTTTCCTTCAATTAATGTGGGATTTTCTAGACCATGAGAGAGAACGTGGAGTCTTCTTTTTCTATTACTTTAATAAATTAATAGATTTCAATAACACAGTTACGAATAGACGAACTGTAGTATCATTTACCTAAATAGCCATATTTGCAATGTCACCAATTCACCCTCTTCTTTTTCATATTGGAAATTAACAATTATGCAACGGTTGACACTAGCTAGCGTACACAAATGCAAGTGTCAACTTGATCTGACACAAGAAATAAATCTAACATGCACAGACATCGGTCCCCCTCTCTCTCCCTCTTTCTCTCACACACACAAAAAAATTATTTTTTTAAAAAAAAAAGAGAGAAAAGACCGTGCAAGGGTAATTGGGCCGTGGTCTAAAGTTAGTGGTCGGTTGAGATCGTGTTTTGACCAGAATGAAATCAAAAATCCACAGCGCGCGCGCGAGCGATCGATCGATCAAGTAGTGGGAGGTTACACTTGGCACCTCGGGCTACTACTACTCCCCTCCCTTACTCATGCAGATCGCTACACACTAGTGAGAACGAGTGGAATATGCTCGGCCTCCACCGCCCGCACGGCACAACCGCCGCGCGAAGAGCTCCATGCTGCTCTAAACTTAGCCCCCTTCCGACCGCTATAAGACCAGATTTTCCTCCACAAAAACCACTCTCGTTGATCACTCCGCACCCCCCTCAACTCTCTCTATCGATCGATCGATCGATCTGTGCCTCCATCCCCGATGCCCCCATCAAGATCTCATCATCAGGATCATCTCCCTGCCGCCGCCGCCGAGTGAAATCAACTAGTGTATGCCTCTCACTGTGGCTGAGATCAAGTGACCGAGGAAGAAGACGAAGGAGACGGCGGCCGGCGGTGTAAAGCTGTATAGCTAGCTCTCTAGCTCTGCGTGTGCTCGGTCCCCGCGCCGCAGTGCTGTGCCTGTGCCTGTGCCTGTGCGCTATCTAGCTGTGGAGATGGAGGCGCGGCTGCGGCTGCTCGTCGTCGTCGTCGTTGTTGCCGGGCACTGCGCCGCCGTCGCGTCCGCCGCCGGTAACTCGTCGGTGGTGGGGTACCACGGGGACCCGACGTTCAACGTCAGGAACTACGGCGCTAAGGGGAACGGCCAAACCGACGACAGCAAGGTAGCTGAGGAACAATCGATCGATCAAGCTAGCTCCTTGGTTGAATTATCCCCTAGCTTCTTGGCTAACTGCGAGGTGTTCGTCCGCGACATGCAGGCGCTGATGACGGCGTGGAAGGCGGCGTGCGCGGCGACCGGGGCGGTGACGCTGGTGCTCCCGCCGGGGACCTACTACATCGGGCCGGTGCAGTTCCATGGCCCCTGCAGCAAGGCCACCACCATGACCTTCCTCATGCAGGCAAGTATACTGTATACCAACCAACCAGCAGGCAGTTTGGTCCCGTGGCCATGGCCGGCCACTACGTGACATGGATGCAGTTGCATTTTGCATCCATCCATCTCGATCGAGCAAGTACGTGGGGCTGGGCTGACCGATTGATCCATCGATCGAACGATCCGTGGTGGTGTGTGGTGGGTGGGTGCGTTTTGCAGGGGACGCTCAAGGCGGCGACCGACCTGAAGAGGTTCGGCAACGACTGGGTCGAGTTCGGGTGGGTGAACCACCTCATCGTCTCCGGCCAGAACGGCGCCGCCTTCGACGGCCAGGGCGCCGCCTCCTGGCCCTTCAACAAGTGCCCCATCCGCAAGGACTGCAAAGTCCTCCCCACCGTGAGCATCTTGCTTCTTCCTTTCGTCAATCCATCATCATCGCCATTAGCAGAGTGTGCAGCTAATTAAGCTTACATTATAATGGCGAGTATGCAGAGCGTGCTGTTCGTGAACAACAAAAACATGGTGGTGCAGAACGTGGCGTCGGTGAACAGCAAGTTCTTCCACATGGCGCTGCTGCAGTGCAGCGGGGCGAAGATCAGCGGGGTGAAGATCAGCGCGCCGGAGAGCAGCCCGAACACGGACGGCATCCACATCGAGCGGAGCAACGGGGTGTCCATCGCGGACACCACCATCGCGACGGGCGACGACTGCATCTCCATCGGGCAGGGGAACGACAACATCGACGTGGCGCGCGTCCACTGCGGGCCGGGGCACGGCATGAGCGTGGGCAGCCTCGGCCGGTACGTCGGCGAGGGGGACGTCACGCGGATCCACGTCCGCGACATGACCTTCCACGGCACCATGAACGGCGTCCGCATCAAGACGTGGGAGAACTCCCCCACCAAGAGCAACGCCGCCCACATGCTGTTCGAGAACCTCGTCATGAACGACGTCCAGAACCCCATCATCATCGACCAGAAGTACTGCCCCTACTACAACTGCGAGCACAAGGTGCATCTTCATCTTCCTAATTCATTCGCCATTGCCGTCGATCGATCGGCCTGACCGTCGTCGAACTGTGCAGTTCGTGTCCGGGGTGACGATCAAGGACGTGCAGTTCAAGAACATCAAGGGGACGGCGACGACGCAGGTGGCGGTGCTGCTCAAGTGCGGGGTGCCGTGCCAGGGCGTCGTGCTGCAGGACGTCGACCTGCGGTACAAGGGGAACGGCGTCTCGTCGTCCAAGTGCGAGAACGTCAGGGCCAAGTACGCCGGCTTCCAGAACCCCAAGCCGTGCCCGTAGCCCCATGACGACGATCTGTGACGAGATCGTTAATTTTTTGCATGCTGTCTTGGCAAGCATGCACCTAGCAAGCAACAAAGACACTAGCTTAGCTAGCTCCGATTAATGTGTCGTGCACTGAGCTTAATTAATTTGTGATTCTTTTCTTTTCCCTTTATGCTACTTAGACGATTTTCTTTTCTTTTCTCCTTCATGTACGTTTCTTAGACGATTTTGTTGCTTTGATTTTTTTTTCCCCTCTCCCTTGACGCTTAATTATAGTGGATTCTGTACGTGGTATAAGTGAGCTGCCGATTACTGGCATTAGTTTCTGAATCACTCAACTTGTGAATACCCCAATGTCATGCTTAATTAATTGGAACAAAGACTAAACTGTCTCAAAAGCCGTCTGGTTCGATCCATCATTCCATCTCATTAGAGTTGCTGCTGTCGGATACCCCTTCGTGTGTCGCGTCGTCCCCGCGCCGGTGGCTCGGGACAAAACCTTAGCCCAATTCTTATCCGACAGCAGTGACGTCTTTTGCCGCCGTAACCCTCTTGAGAAGGTTGTCGAGGTGCCTTCCTCCCCCTCTTTAATGTTATCCTCTAGGAGAAAACAATATCGTTTCGGGATGAGCGATGGTGGCGTTTTTAATGTTGTAATCTTTTTGGAGACGTTGTTTTGAAGGTTCTCGGTGTGGCCGTGTTTCCTTATATTGTGGTGGTGGTGTGGTGTGACGCAGGATTTGAAAGTTCCGAAATCTCGGTAATTTCGCCCCCCCCACCGGCATGCTCAAATATCGCTCGAAATTTTCGGTTTTTTGCAAATTATTGTGAATTTGGTCACATTTTATTCAAATTCAATCAAATTTCAAAAAATTTCAGCCAGAAATTTTCGAAATTTCGGTCACCCCCGGCATGATATCCAATTTTGAAATTGAAAACCTATTAATTCTTTATTTCTTTCTGAAAGTCTTAATAAACAGATGCACAATTCTATTGGAAATTCCCCAAAAATACTAAACTGTCTCAAATATGCACTAATAAGAACACGAAGAAGATTATATAAAAATGGTCCAGGAAAATCCGGCTCGGTTTAGAAAACAGTGGCTTCATCTCCCTTCATTTAACCGTGAACTATTCATCTCACCATCGGTTACTTCGGCTGCATAATTTTGGATAAAGAAAAGATGTACACAATCCCTTTGGATCGGCAGTGAAGTTAAATCAATATCCCAATAATCTGCAAGGATTAGATACGGTCATTTGACATCATAGGGAGAACTTGCTAAATCTGATCAAAGATGTGTCCAGAGCCCAAGCAAGTAGTGTACTACATCCAAATGCACCGTTAAATAGCTGAGCTAGACTTTACTCACGATGTGCTCACGTCCGGCAAACCATATGGTGGAAACAGTTGGGTAACCTGTCGTGTTTGGTGTAATATCCAGTTTTCATTTTTTTTTTTTGGGGACTGGAATACACTTCCATAAGTTTCAAGTGACAATGCAACAAACTTTCAGGTAGATAAAAAGGCCATACACAGGAGAATCACACCATATAACATTTTTCCGCCCCAGGAAAGAATGCAGTCTCAAAACATCTACAACTTATCTGCAGTTATGCAGAAGTAGGGATTAAAAAGCCATACACAGGAGAATCACACTATTTAACATTTTCCTGCCCCAGGAGAGAATGTAATATCAAAACATCTACAACCATATCTGCAGTTATGCAGAAGTAGGGATACAAAGGACAGGTGGCAAGGAAATCTAGTTAACAACTGACATCTACAATTAAAAAAAAATCAATCAAATACTAGAAAAACTAAACTAAAGAGCACAAGACCCACGAATGGGGAAAACTATTGGTTATGTCAGTGTGGATCATTGAAGGTGCCATCTTTCTTCAAGGATTGATGTTACACTCCCGCAGGAAGGGCTGGTCATAATCGAGGTATGCCGACCAGTAGTTTCGGAATTTGGGCAGACCAATCTCCAGCCAAGGCTTCATATTGCCATTGTAATGTATGACCGCGGCACGTTCAATATCTCTGCTGCTCACATGCGGGTTGTAACCAAGACCAAGGACATGCCATGAACGATTGAGGGGAAGCGTCTTATTCCAGAATGTAATCAAACCTGGAGGCAGAGTGCCAAGTTTCCATAGTAATCTGTCCTGATTCTGCAAGCAAAGATTGATATATTTCAGTACATATGTGAACCAAAATGAACATGAAAGTACACAACTCAACGTTAGTACTAAAAGCACTCAAAGCCACCTGACACTTATGATACACACTATATTTTAGTTATCATTTCCATAAATAATTTCTACACTAATTACAAACCTTTCTAAAAAGGTAATTTCATAGATTACAAGTGATTACACAGGATTGAGAAAACGTAGGAATAGGAAAAACACAAGATTGAGAAAATGTAGGAATAGGAAAAACACAGGATTTTCATACGAATGTAAGTGTAAAACTGAGGATTGCAAAACACAGGAATGGTCATTTGATTGAATCACAAGAAAAACGCAGGAATTAGAGGAGAGATAAAGACTCAAAGGAAAGTTTCCATGAGGTAAAACCTCATGTTAGAATTCCTCCAAAACTAGCATGGTATTAGGTATTCCATAGGAATTTCATAGGATTCCATAGGATTCATTCCTTTGATTCAAAGAGCTATATAGGAAAGATTCCTATAGGAACGAAATCCTCTAAAACTCCTATGAATTTCCTTTGAATCAAAGTGGGCCTAAGCCTTGATACATGGTTTAAGCGGAAAAATAGGTATGTTCATTGTACATAAAAACCAGCCATGTAGCAGTTCAAAAAAAATTTAGTACGCTGTCACATTCTTTACGTACAGGGATAAAGGCATACAGCCCTCAAGCTAGTATTGGTTCAATACTAACTACTCACTACAAACAACACGATTTCTTGAATGTTAAGAAGTATCTTGGCTTCAATAGATAGAAATATTTCTAGCAAGTACTTTTATTTATGCAAGGAAGTAAAGAATATGTGAATCTTACAAGCTTTTGCCAGGAGTGATAGATTTCAGTTATGTTCTGCCGCCTCCATTCAGCCAGATCAAAGACATTCATTCCAAAAGCCCATCCACATGCATGGGGGTCAAAATTCTTCACAATGACAGGATTTGAGAAATTAAGGTAACGATCAAAACGATGGAAGCTCTCTCCACAAGTCTCTACAACACCAATTACTTTCCCCTTCATATCAATTGACCAGAGGCTGGTTAGGTCCTTCTTTATCACTACATCATCATCAAGAAAGACAATCTTGTGGAGATTTGGGTAAATCTCAGGTAGATAAAATCGCAAATGATTGAGAATAGAAAGATATTTTGGGTTTCTGTACTTCAAGTTTGAATCTGAGTTTGCACGATGTGTCCTGAAGTAGTAATCAATCATTGATTGTGATTCGAGCTGTTTCAGCACTGGGCTGTAGCTGGCATTTAGCCATGTGAACTCTTCAATATTCCGTACTTCAATCGTTGCTTTCCCAGGAGGGTTAGAGAGGAACCACATTCTCATTGGAGCATAGTTTAGTCTGTCAGTTACTATGTGGAAGACATGATGAGAAGGATGCTGCAAATAAAATAAAATCTACTCAGTATGATGCTTGCTATCATCTTCCAGCGTAATTCAAACTAGGACAGAATATTACATACCTTGGCATTTAACACTGTTGAATTAACAACTACAGCTGCTGCCAATATATTGTCAGAGAACAATGCATAGTGATATAGTTTGGGGTCATCAAGTTTTTCCTTGTTTGGGAATTGCTGATGGCTAGGATCCAATAAAAAATATTCATTAGCTAGCCTCAAGGGGAGGCAGTGAAGACCCTTGGGAAGGGTTTTGGCTGCAAGTTGTGTTAGGAAAACAGTTTGCTTCTTGTGTGCATGCAGTTGCTCCTCAGCTGAGTGAAGCATAGCTCGAAGCTTTTTGACAACAACAGAACAATCATCCTGCATCAGTTTTCCCTTGATCAGTGTCTGCTCAAGTGTTTTCACCTTCTCATTGGCACTGATCAAATCAAGACAGATGAAAAGGTTACAGAACAATTGATGAGGCTGCTATCCTGAACATAATAACTAGCTACAATGTTAAATACATCAATCGGACAGGATAGGAAACCCTTACTTCTTGGGTAGATCGGAGTCCTTGGATGCATCACCAAGAACCTTTTGAACTTCCCGAATCCGCTGCCTCAAGTCTTTGAGGTACTGGGGATTTGCTCGAATGGCTCCAAGACCAAGGTAGACCTTTGCCTTGATTAACAGATCCCTGATATTGCGGATTCTAGTATCAAGCAAAGCACCATCTTTGTTTCCTTCCAGAGAGTTTTCCATGGATGTCTGTTCAGGCACATTCTCCAATGAACTTGCCTGTAAATAGAAGACCATGCAATAAAAAAGAAACCATTTAGCAAGAAATCATTATCTCAACATATGGCAAATGAATTTTGTTAAAAAGGAAATTCAAGAACAGAATTATGATACCATTACTTGATAATAAAATGGCACAAATTCTGCATGAGTGCTACAGTTTAGGTGACCCCAGCATATGGATGCACAAACATGTGAACAGATCTACCAAATCTAGAAATTTCTAGTCAACTCAACAAAAGGAATTATGAAAATGTGTGTGCACGTGCTCATGTGAGTAGCCTTTTAAATGTCTGGTAGTTTCATTTCCCAAAACGAAACTTTGTCTAGGTTGCTATGTGCCTTGTATTTGTAAAGGTTGAGGGAATATAATGTGAAATGGACTTCACATCAGGTGCCAAGATTCTACACTTTAGGGATGCCTTGCAAAGTTGGTACAAGAATCTCAACTTAAGAAACGGTTTGGGTGGACAAACATGAAAGGCAAGAATATTGGGAGTCAAGTTAACTTACAGGAAAGTTAAGGAATGGCTGAAAGAGGCAAGCATATTAACAAAAGCGTGCACAAAGAACATTCCATAACAAAGAAACTTAACTTTAGCCTGAAGCAGAAGACCGTAACTGAACCAAATACACACATTCTCAAAATTGATAAACATAAATGCTTTGAATCTTGACATACTCCATGATTAATCATTAGTCTAGTTGTTTAACAGCATAAATCTTGTTACAGTAAACTGTGCATTAACATTGTCAGATAAACTATGATCATCATCTTTTCTGAAGGACACCCTTACAGCATTTTACCCACACATTTGAAAACAAAACAACTGAGTTACTTTGTACGGAGCTACATTGCATAAATTAATTCATGTTCAACTAAAAAATATGGTTTCCTCTAACGACATGAGCAGAACAATTTACCAACACATTCTTTAATGTTGAAAATAATGCATCATTGCATCTTAGGTACTTTGACCTACTAC